ACAGCTTTCAGTAGAGCTACACAGCCTGTTTCAGCAGGGAACTTGGCCCTCAGATGCCTACATGGCTTTTTGTCAAAGATGACTCTGCTCTTGGAGATGCACGCCAGAGACAGCAAGCTATTGGGAAGCGCCAGAGCAAAAGAGACAAGGATAAAAAAGCTGGACTCAACACATGCCGGTGCTGGGGAAAAATCTCAGGTCTTCCAGTGCCTTCTTCCTTACTCTGAGAACTAGACAGCACTGATGAAATGCCTCAATGGAAACTTTCCTTAGCAATTTTCAAATACGAATTTGTGAGTGTACTCTGTGTCAGACACTTCTGAATTTAGGGGGTTACAGTGGAATATAAGGGGTATAAATTAGCTTATCTTTTAAAATAGACTTCCAACAGTGCAATCTGTACAGTCTTTTAGCTATATGATTATTTCATCTCGTTAGCTGATTTATTTCCTCTATGAGTCTGTCAGCTAAGATACAATGGGACTGGGCTCTCTAATTTAGTGGCTTTCATTAGATTATGAAGTTTGAACTTGAATGAATAAGGAATTATGAGCAATTTAGTTCATAAAGATCAGCAATAATCATAGGCTGAATTTGAAGTTATGGAGGAGACCATGAAGAGCAAGAAATACTATTAACTTTAAACTGCTGTTAAAATTCTCATAGGATCTATGGTTATAAAAGAAATATAGAATCTGAATATTCTGATTTTTTTAACAATAAATGCTTTTTAACCAATCTGAACATTCTCACACTTAGATATATTAGCTATACTGAAACATTACATAAAGTAACTTTTGGCTACAACCTTAAATTTAGTGTTATTTCCACTGAAATAAACTGAAGTCAGGAGTGGCCATACCATGCAAGATGCATAAGACAAAACGAGCATCTATACCGTTTTCCCATCTCCAGCACTGACCAGGTCCCCATCCCAGATTTATTAATGCAGCTTTAAATTGAATTCAAAGGTAAGATTTCCCTGTGGATTTCAGAAGAAGCAGAAACAAGCCATATAGCTGGAAATTACATATTCTTTGCCTGTTTTCAAGCCAAAAAAATAGAACAGAATATTTTGAATACCCACAAAATAGTTGAAGCATGTTGCATTAATCTAAGTTAATACAAAAAAATAGCCTAAAGTTAAAGAATTAGAATAAAGATATTCTCATTTTTGCTTGTAAAATAATTTACACTTATTACCATAACATCTGTCTTTCCACTGCTGTGCTTAATGGGAGTCACTTTGGTGCTGTAAGTGATCTCAACTAGTGGAGCCCCAGCCTTTCCTCAGGACCAGGTGACTTACTGCTCTTTATTATGATAAGAGCAGATAGTTCACCAGTGAAACAATCAACCTGGGTAAATATCTCAGTGTTGTAGGGGCCAGTGGGCAGGGGAAGAAGGACAAATGATCTGGGGTGCAGATGGGAGTGAGGGGAGCCCTGCGCAGCCTAGGGAGACATAACAACTGGGAGCTCTGGATTTTATTGCCCACGTGTCACTGGAGTGCTGTGTTACTCCAGCCAAGGACTTCACCTGGATGAACACCTGTAAAGGCTTTTGGTTTCTTGCAAAAGAGGATTCTCATGGGTTTCCAGAGGTGACCTCAAGGGTGCTAAGCAGAGGGTGAAAGACTCAAGTTTCCTCAAACTACTTTTGAAGACCATAGGCTTCCTACCGTTTACAGACTTGATCCCTCTCCTGTTCCAAAAGGCATAGCAGCACTTAAAAAAAAAAGTTAATTAAGACATAATTACTATATATATTACATCATATTATGAAATATGTGGGTTTATATCTTATGTACACAGTAAACAAAAAAGTTTTGCTTCTTAATGTGTTGCAATAGCGAATCATACAAAGGATCTTTGTAGGAGAGATTTCAGGTAGTATAAATGCAAATGGTTTATGTGAAAAGAATCATAAAATAATTAAAGTATAGATACAGTTTTCGATTTAACTTCTGTTTGCTGTGATACTGGAAACTGGAAATTTACTTCTACAGAGACAAAATACATACTGATGAGAGACTCAGGTAGCAAAGAATTATTGAGGTGGGACTCTTTTATCAAAAGAAAGGTAGTATGAGAATATTTTTGAATATTTTTTAAGGTTTAGTAAGTGCCTGTTCTAAATCCTTTTTGCTCCCAACACTAAAGAGAGCCCTCCATCAAACAGCTTGAAAGCAGTTTTTATTCAAACTCTTTGTTTAAAAGTTGGTCTTATGCAAGTCTGTAGATTACAGCCAGGTACTAAAAGGAAGGAGAAAAAAACCCCTGACCTTCAAACCCTGCTATTTCATAATGAGCCACTCTCCTGGAGCTGATATTTCGTCTAGAAACCTGACTATTTTTCATTTTTTTCAGACTCGAGTTGTTTGGAAATTGTCCTGGAAAGCACAGGCAAAATTGTCAGAGAGCTTATAACATCAGGAAATTCATCCTGGGCCTGCCAAGGTCCAACATCCCTACACTACATTTTGAAGTGCAGTAGCATGGACCTAGTTACAAGCATTATATGTGTACTTTCAATTAACAGGTTACTGGCTACACTAGCCAGTTTTCCAACACGACACGATAAAAACTGCTCACATTCACTTCAGTGAATGCCCCAAATCACATGGAATTGTAGCATGCGAAAGGCAGGATTTCTTTCCCATCTGTTCATGGGTATCAAATATTGCATGAATGTAGATGATGACAATTCATGCCAGTTGAGGGTTTCTTGAACAAGGTGCTCTGCTTTGAGCTCATCTTTTGTCAGACCATGTTAATCAGTGCCTTTAGTCTGTTTCACCCACTGGCAGTTTGAATTTTTTGAGGCACAGGGGGGTTGCTTTTTCTGCCTGTTTATTAAATTCCTATTATGGAAGGATGGCAGGTAGGATTTGGGAGAAAGAAAAGCAGTAGTTTTTCACAGAAGGAGGAAACACAGTTCCAGTGTGAATGAGATCAGTGTAAAAAGGCATCTGCTGCTAAGGAAATGAACTATATTAGAGAAATAAGATCCCAGTTTTCCCCTACTGCATTTTCTGTATGTGAATCAAGATCTGTGTTACAGTTCAGAGGAAATAGCAACAGGAGAAGTGTCCAAACAATTGGGCACACATGGTATTAAGAATAATATTTTTTAAAAGTAGCAGTAGGATGGCATTTGGTGCTCTCATTAGCATTGCAGGACACCATGGAGCGTAAGGATGCCCATGCCCTGAGGCTCATGCCTGAGGCAGTCATCCATCACTTCTCCCATCACTCTCTCAGATGGTTTTCCAATCTGAGAGCACAATGTTCTTTGTGTGTGAAATTGTGTATTAACTGAGAAGCAAGTAAAAGGGGATGTTTTAACTGTTTAGAAAAAATCCTTGCCACTTACAAGTTCCTGTGTTACACACTTGCATTAGTTATCTAATCTGCTGTATCATCCAGCAGGAGGCTGGGCACAAGCTATCCAGCCTTCACCACTTGTAAATGAATTAGGACCACATGACTCGTAAACCCATAGCAGTCCTAATATGGGGTTACTTAGATACCATGTGCTGCTTCCAAAAACAAATATTACTTGTGCTTTTACATCAAACTCATAAAACTTGGAATTGGTTTTAGGTCTGGATTTGACCTTTCCCAAAGTCTGAGAATGCTGAGATGATTATTGGAAAACTGTGAAGAGAAAGAGTAAAGGCAAAACTTGATAAATGTCCGCGAAGGAAAGCTCTAAGAAGCACAAAACATTTTCATTTCTCATAGCTGATGTGACCAAAACTAAAGGGCAGCGCCCTTCTGGTATAATGTCCTTGACTGCTCTGATTTGTTCTGTGAAGTCTCTCTCCTTTAAGCAGAAAACCCACCTAGAGACACAGTTTTGCTTAGTTTGCTCAAAGGAGCTGAGAAGGTTCAGTAGAGTCCTTTCCTGACTATGTGCGTGCTGGTTGTGGGGAGGAAGCAAAAGCAAACTACTCTGCTGTAGCTGGACAGCATTGTAAAATTAACATTCATCTAAACGCAAATTTTCTTCTACCTAAGATCTTACCAGCTTTTGGAAGAGAATAACTCTTTTCTTTGTTTGGCGACCACTTAAAAGGGATGGATAAAAATGGACAGTGGAAATGAGCAGCAGCTCTTTAAACAACCAGTCTGTCACAGTGACAGCTGAGGATGGTTCACTTCTGCATATTGCATATTGTTTGTTCCAGACTCAAAATGTGGGTTATTTGGAAACCTGATCCATATGAGCTCCAAATACCCATGTGGGTGAGAAATTGCCCTTTATAAAAAGAACATAGCATTTCTTATTCCTCTTCATGGATATTAACCATTTCCTTTCCAGAATATTGCCATGATTTAGTTGGTTTCTCTGCTTTGCAGAAATGAAAAACAAGATTAAAATGAAGAGTACAAAACCCAAGACTAAAATAATTTAAGGACAGAGTTCTGGAAAAAAATGTTTCCATTAAAGTGTTTGGCTTTTTGCTATTTAAATTTATAAAAGCATTGAGGGGTTCTTTCTTTGTTTGGTTTCGTTTGTTTGGGTTTTTTTGGGTGGCTGGTTTTTTTGGTATTATCATTGTTAGGTCAGGTTTTTTTATGATCTCATAGTGATTGTAAAATCCCTCCAAGGGCCAAAGATAAGTAATAATAAGTAATAATAATAATAAAATAATATAATATAATAATAATATCTGTAAAAACCAGCAAAAATAATCTGAGTAAACTTGCAAAGAAAGTTTCTTTCCCTTGGCAACTTTCCTTTCTTTGTAAGGAAATGATCTTCTTTAATGGGTCATTTGTTTCATAAACTGTGTGCGATAGCGTTTTCCCCTTTTCCTTTGAAATCTCTGGATATAGTCATGGTGAGAGACAGTTAGCTGAAAGAAACATGCAGCAACTCCCTTGTTAGATCACTCTGGGCCTGATCTTTGCACACGGACTTTGATTGGGGTTATAATGGGATATGTTACTTGGAAATAAAATTCAGTAATACTGACCTTTCAGGACAAACTCGGAGCATATTTGTATCACTGAATTAATTCCTACCACCTCTGAACAGTTGTTTGATGTCTTTGCAGAGATTTTTTCCTGTGAAATAACAGTCAGCTAGTCTTACTGCCTGCAAATCTGCCCCCTTGAAGGGAGAGCTGCAGTTATTAACAGATGACTGCCTGAAAATATAGTGAAAAAAAAATACAGTGTGACAGCCTAATTCTTGTGCATGTAAGAGTAATTTAGGTTGCAGACTCTACTTCACTAACCTAAGCTCCATAGTTCTCTGAGATACATAAATATTGACATACTCATTTTCTAGTTGGGAAATAGAGGAAGAGAGAGGTTACATTATTTGCCCCATGTAAAACAACGATGGATGAGAATGGAAAGCACAGACTTTCCTGTTCAATCTATAACCCTTACTGCTTTTCTGAACATCCTCTCCCAAAGGATGAGTCCTGTTAATGTGCCTTATAGTACTGGATATGAAATTGTTGCAAAATTCACTGAACCTGGTGGACTGATATTGCAATCCCAGAGAGGTAGAGAGGCTAAGTACTCTTCCGTTCAGTGAGAGATAGAATGGTAGATGATACTGTCCAAAATCACAGGAGTAATATGAAGAATAAAAAAGTCCATACATAATGGCTTATCGGAAAAACTAAACAAAACAAACCCACAAAATGCCAGGGGACAAAATGCCACTGGAGGAGGACCTACATATTGGGGTTTTCTTCATTAAGAAATGGTATCATGAATTCAGCTTTAACACAGTTTCAAGATAAAAAATATTTTGCCCAGGAGATACAACTCATTTTCATATTACGGTGACTTTGAGTAAAATACCTTTGTATAAATAAAGTTTAGTTGTATATAGAGCATGATGAATGAAGTGGTTTGTTTTCAGTTCAGTATCTGGAGGTGATCTGGGGATTTGCTGCACAAGAGTGAGAGCAAGAGATTCACTATATTAAGGAAACACATTAAATTCTCCAGGTACATTTCTTTTACAAGTGTCATGACAACTAAACAGACCTACTAAACAGTGAGCCTTTATTCACTGCTGTTACCACACCAAACACTGGCTATTCACAGTCCGTGCTCTGCAGTACCCTTTATTTTATAATAAACTGATTGTCTTTCCTCATCCTCTGTAACTATATTTGGGAACATTAAATGAGTAGGAATGCGTAACATTGCCATAAAGTAAAGCTTTTAGATTTCATGTACCATCTTCTCTAAGCCATGGCAAAAATACAATTTAATATACATATTGAATACTACTCTGAAGCATGTTAATGCAAAAGTTTAGTTAGTTCAATGTTGGTTGAAACCACATGACCGGATAGTAATGCGCTATGGCCAGAAATATCCCCATAAATATAAATAGTAGAATTAGCAACCTGAGCTCGAGCATTTAAAAATGTTGTAGTTGTAAAGGTTGGGGGAAGAATTTGGGTTTTATGTTGTCCTCAAGGCCATATTCTGAGGGGCAACAGAATGCCATGATGATGTCTTAGCCAACACTGTCTGAACTACTCATCTTGCAGAATTAAAACAGTCAGTGACCTCACCTCAAAATACTTTCATTCATTGGAAAATGTAAATGGAAATATCCAGAATCAAGAAAGAGAAATAAACCATATAAATTACATCATCCTTGCTTTGCCCAATATTTACCTATATAATATTTACCTAACATTTTTTAATTATTACTAGGGTGCAAAAAAAGTCTAATCCACTTCTTGGAAATGGATTAGTAACCTCAGTAACCTCAGCTGCCCCAGTGCATTCCAGGCAAGATGCGCTGTTTCAGAAACAACAAGGGATTGGGTTGCACTGGAACAATGTGCGACAAGATCTGCGCTTTGAACTGCATCCAAGAGTGAATAGGTCATCAAGGTAGCTGCTGAGGAGTTGGTGAAAATGTTCCTACCAGTTCAACTAGCTGAGGGGAGGCCAGATTCAGCTCAAGTTGAAGTTAGCTATAATACACAGGGATTTTGGTACACATTACCCAATTTCTACCATTTTCACCAAATTAAGAGTTGGAAAGGTATTACATTATCTAGTAAACTACCTTGAGGATGAAAAATGCTTCATAAATGACAGCGAGAATTATATGATTAATTACTAAATAAAATTTAATATTTTATTTGTGTTTCCGAACCCTGTTTTCAAAGAGCATGGATAACCACACTTGTTGTTCTTCTCCAGGGCTCACATATAACCATGTCTTACATCTCTGCACACCAGAATTTTATGAGGGTGCTGTAAGAACCTTTGTTCCAGATTCTGCTGCTACTAATCCCACTGTAAAGCTGAAAACCTGCCTAGAGCTTCTTTACAGCTACACTGAAATGACTGATGGTAAAATTTGCTCCCTAAGCATTTGTGATGTCTAGTTTGCAACATTGGGTGATATCTGTATCTTCTGTATCTTTGCTGATATGGAACATGACTAGAATATTTTCTCTCATATGTGTGTCAAATGAAATCCAAAGGATATTTCACTCTGTCTTATTCCAAATTTCATTCAGCACTGACCTCTTTATTTTACTCTTGCAGTGCTTTGGCAAAAAGTGTCAATCAGTCTCTATTTCTTGAATTCTGCTTGAGCCTGATAGGTCTCTCCATGCATCCTGGGACAAACGGTAAACTTCATGTTGTTGTCTCCTCTGCTGTTTCTCTATTCACAGTGAGATTAAATGCACTGTTAGCATTTAAGTAACATGAACTGCAGTTCAGATGAAACATTTGTGACTGGTTTAACTGAATTGATATTGTTCACTTTGATAATGACCAGTCTTCACAGTGGTGAATGCCACCAGTGGGCTCCTTCCCTTGCAAGCCCATCCATCACACCCAAACTCTAACCATAACTCAGTAATAGACAACTGCTGTGACATAGAGGATTGAGAGTGCCTCCCACCCAACCATGTAAGAATATGGGGAAGGTAGCCATAGGGGAGAAAAAGGGAAGAGTTTTTAGTTATTGGATTAATTACTTAAAGGAATCTTCCCTACGTTTACCACATGAAAAAACTGAAGCAGACTACATATGATTGTTTATCTTTTTTTCCTAGATCTGCTAATGTATCTTCCTATGTATGGTAAAGTTATTCTGTACTGGAAATGATACAAAACTCATACACCATGTGTTCTTGGAAAGATGAGCTTGGGGAAAATACATATTGAAGCTGCTATGGTGAGAAGTGAAGAGAGCTCTCATTGGCCTGGTATGCACTCAGAGATAGGATCCAGGAAGATCCAGATCTTCAGAGGGCTGCTGGTCCCACAGACTGTGCCACAAGCATCTCCCAGAGAGAACAAGGACACATAGCTACAATCTCATTAGACTGAGGAATGCTTGAAGCTCTTATGTCACAGTGGAGCAACCAAATGCGTCATGCAGTGAGGGTGAGTGAACTTAAGGTGATGGAGTAATCTTCTACTGTTTGTTAAAAAATCAATGATAGGAACATTTTATCAGAACAGATAATTAAAATGTTGTTGCCATATATATATATATATGTATTGAAAATGGTTGTCTTATTTTTCCTCTTTCAAAATTTTTACTTGATTTTTATATTACACACAAATATTCGAGGAAATTAACATCTCCAGATACACGGTCTTCCATGTCACATGTTTAATCATGTCTAATAAATGTTGTTTGAAGTCTGATGAGTGTATTTAAATGCGGAATTTTACAATTTTCTCCTCTCATATCTGAATTTTCAATTGAGATTAAATTATATTTTTAGCATTTCTCTGTTTATCTGGCACACAGAACATAACCTGTAAATGTAAAATGACTAATCTAACTCATAAAAAAGATTAAAGAACAGACACATAGGTAAACATCATACAGCTTCTTGGAAAATGCATTTCTGAAGTGAGAAAAATTCTAGTGGAGCCCATGTATAGTGATCGTGAACCCTGATCTTGGAAACCTTTTCTTAGTTTCTTTATATGTACACTATAAATTCTATTTCTTTAAAATGTTTTAAAAGAACAGTTTTGTGGTTTATTTATTTCAGTCATCTCCATGTTTTAAATTTCTGTCTCCATCCTGCAGTTAAAATCTAATGTTCTAATAACCCAGGAATAGATTTGAAGATGCTTTGAATGTTTTTAATTTGAGAGGAAACACAGACTATAACATGTGAAGTGTTTTTCAACCTAGTCCTTTGATAGTCTGATGTGCCATAAATCTTACATTATGTTAGCTACAAAAATGCAGTTTGACAGCCACGTTTGATTTTGGTTCCCTGAATGATTCTGAAGGAATAACAAAAATCCATTTAGACAGGAGCAAGAGCATCCATTCTCACTTTTAAGAATGCAAATTGTGTTTGCTAATGAATAACTTCAGGAAAATCAGCAGACAGTGGGACCCATTCAATCCTCTGACAGAATTTTAGATCTCACTAGCAAAATCCTTTCCCACTCCAGTAGTCATATGTAAAATCCCAGGCTAAAGAGTTCATTGTTTTCTGATGCAAAAGGTAGTTCAATTCTGACTGATTTTTCTTCTGTTCAGTTTCAGCTGTTCTCAAAAACATTGACGAGGTCAGTGGTGTGCTTTAACTAGGTATAGCTCAGTCACGCAATTGTATGTATATTCCACCAAGACAACTCACCATCTGCATGCAAAATTTGTTCTCTTAAGACACTTCAGAAGCAGTCAGCCCAGGTGGTGAAACATTCTCTGAAGTCACTTAAAATGCAGTGACTCCATTAAATGAAATGAAAAGCAAGCATCAGCAGTCTTGTCATCTGTAAGAATACAGGTACCTGACATTCAGAAGCATGTTCTGTAACAATCAACATCAATGCTCAGCCTTAGTCTGGCTCCAGCTGAAGTCAAAGCAAGTTGAATGGAAGCAAGATCAGCTAGGGAGTTTTATTTTTTGTAAAATATAAACATATTAACAGGAGAAAATACTGTTTTCTTATGTTACAACCTTAATAACCAACATGAGTTTTTTCTCACAGTTCTGCAGGTAACGCAGGGTTTAATTACACGTACATCATGATTAAAAAGAGCAGATATTCAACTGTACACATACACTGTGTATTGTATGCTTTACTAGAAATTCAGTATTTTTATATGTCCCCAATTGTATGCCTAGTAATTTTACTATCTTATTTCATTTAAAAAACTAGCACAAAATATTTAAGTAGTTTTATTATGACTGTATCATTTTGACAAGATAGAGAGGGACTATACATTTACGAACAGATACACACATTCAAAGCCTCTGACAAAACAGCCCTTTCCATACTTCTTCCTCTTCATATAGTATGTGGTGACTTTACTCCTAAAGCATCATGATAAGTTATGGAGCTAGTGTTAAGTCTTCTTTAACAAAAGCCACTGAAGCTAGAAAATTGTGTCCAGGAAATTCACTGGAACCTGTAATATGGCTACCCTGATATTGCTCTTGCTGTTAGAATGATAACTGAGAGAGGACTAGGGAACAATTTTAATTACATAAACACAATCTGTCTTGGGACATTTGCAAACATGAACATGATTGCAAATACAAAGCTGATGTTTAAGCTCAGACTCTTTAAGGAATGTATATCTGTTAAAGAGGTTTTGGGGAGTGGGAACAGCAGGGTTGCAAATATTCATTAATTATCCGCTGCAGCAGGCAAGATGTTTTGGTGAACTGCAAGGTGTCTTCACAATGGTTTTGCTCCTGCCACCTTCGAACCCCTGGGAGAAGGGTTAGGATTATCTAGAGAATGGAGCACCAACTTCAGCTGACTACAAGCTGAGAATTAGGAAGCTGCATGCTAGTCTAGCTTCTCCTACAGACCTATTGTGCTAGGACAGAAAAGTCACTTACTCTTTCATATTCATACATACAGTAAAGTTGCAATCTGCAACAGCCTTCATCAGAAGCATTAGGCTGTTAAATTGACTGCTGTGAATGGCACACGCAAGTTAATTTATTTTACATTGTACAATAGTCCCAGTCTTGATAATCAAATGAAGCAGAATTTATTAAAGAACTATAGCAACACTGAGATCATGAATAAAGGGAGTTATTTGCAGTTTCATATTAAATCATTCAGGCAAAGCCAGCAAGCAAACCTCCAAGGGGTAGTAAAGAATCATTAGTATGTAAAATGATGTGGGTTTAGCCCACATGGTCCCGCCAGGTGGGCACATACTGGCTGATAGGTGTTATTTGACTCGGTATGCAAAAGGAGCGTGTTATTGAAATAAATCTTATAGAAAGGTTCAAGCAATCTCTTTGAAGTAATGCGTGTTAACTGAAAAGAAATTAAAAGGGTGTCTGTTGAGGCTTGCCAAAGGCTATTTACATAGTAAGTGCCATTGTAAATTGAGAATAAACACCTCAGTATCAGAACTGATGCAACAGCAAAAAGCCCTGGTCTTTTCATTGAACAAAGGAAATACAACTCCTAAAGCACTAAGAATTACCCTTGTATTAACAACACAGAAAATCAGTGACCTTCTCATATGGACACTACAGAAGTTTTCCTCTAAAAAACATTATTTTACCATAATGAGCACTTATCTTACTTCCTTATCTCTTTGCTTTATATGGGCCCAAGTGGAGAGAAGAAAGACGCAAAAGATTGCTCTCCTTGTCAGAACTCACACAAGGGCCAGGAATAAATGTGGCCTTTAAGATTATTCCTACTTGAGATTGTAGAGACCACTGACAAAATAGCAAAGAGAGCAATACCTGTATCATCAGCGGACCGACAGCTAACTCTGTGTTTGGTAAATGACAATTCTCCTGTGAGAATTTGAGCTTTTCTAAATTCTAGTCATTGATTAAAGTACTACAGTCATTATCAGATGGGTTAGCAGGCAGAATGCAAAAAAGGCTGTAAAAAGTGCACTGTGAGTGCAACTCATCAGGTACATACTGCTCTGTGTAGCACACACATAGTAAATACTGCGTCCTTGTTAAGTATGAATGAATATGTATGAAAATACTTAGGCTTCTCAAATTTACAATGCAACTCACACTACAAACCTAAAAATGGAAATTGGGTTGTAACTAGAGACATTGGATCACAAACAAACAGCTGCAAAAACAATTTGACAAAGGCAAAATATTAAGCTGATTGGAATTTCACAAGATTGACGTTGCTTAAAGTGCTTGGGTTGATTACATTTTAAAAAACTAAAGTACATAAAAATTTAAACAAAACAGATAATATTAACCACAGAAGTTACTGTACAAATACAATAACAGACCAAAAAAAAAGAAAAATAAATTAAAACAAACACTGGTAAAAGGTACTAGCAAAGAATAGGTACACAGCCAAAACTTGTTAAAATTTCTAATATTCATTCAGCTGTAAGATACTGCTAAGACCTGTCAGCCACATGCAGCAAAAAAGAGACAAAACAAGATGGGATCTGCTGCTGAGAGGCATCAAACTTTTCAAACCTGTCAGCTGCAAGTCATCAGCTCAGATGCCAAGTACATGATGCTGTAATAGATGAGTGAATGAAATGTAATGTCTGAAGATAAAAGACAACTTGTGGTAGCAGTTTAGAACCCATCATGTTATGTGAATTTCAGTTTCATTTTGTTAGGTCTTTAATAGCTTTATTAAATCTGATATGAAGGAAACTCCTACTGCTTTATTTTCTCTTCTCCAACTGCTAGAGGGACAAGACTTTCAATACATAATCTAGTACTCTGAGATAAGTAAATTATTAAAATAAATTAAGAGGAGTAATTTTGGGACTTAATTTCAAAAAGGTGTTCTGTTTCATTGGTATATCTTTTCCATCACTCCCTTCTTCTGCCTCCTTCTGCTATGTCCCCAAAGCAGAAATTACATAAAATCCTGGCAGCCTGTTCTGGGAAACATAAAAGTTGAGTTCTGAGCTCATCTTCTAAGATAACTGATCAGCACCGCAGTGGTTCACTGGGTTCAGTGGAAAAACTGCACAAGACAAAAATGTTCTTTTTTCTAAGTAAGAACATACTAATAAGATTTATAAATGGACAATGCATCTTAGCAACAGCACGTGAAACAAGTGGAAAACTTCAATTGTTGTTAGGCCTAAAATACTTAGAATCTGACACCATAAAATATAGTAATTTTAGGGAAGCACAGAATACTATTAGACATCTGTGCTAGCATTTTGTTTCCTGGCTGCTAGCTGCGAGCTGAAAAGCTTTTATTGTCTTAGGTATTTTTCCATTCCTTCATAAGGGACTGGAAATCTA